TTGTATCGACCATTCATGAGTTTGTGTAACCACAATAAAAACACATACTGCGTAGAACGTATATAGCAGACCACTTTTGCCATCGCCACTATCGGCTCGGGCGGTGGCAACACTCCAATTTAAGTGTTTGGAGTGGCTAGTGAAATATGATAAGTTAGATGTAAAATAGATAAGGATGATTCTAAAAGCCACTAGTGCATTTATGAAACCGTATGTTGTTATCTCTACCAGAAATAGGAAGTGCCCAAAGTGCTGGAAGTGATGGAGGGGAATTTTGAGGCTGCACGTTTAAAAACATCGAGATCAACGAATTTCTTAGCGAGTTAGAATCATTATTTAACATATTTCTTGACTTAATGAACTGCTGTGACTTTTGACACACTTTTTTTAGGAGTCTTGTCCTCAAGACACTGTTGGGCTAGCAGCGGGATCCTACTGTAGTACTGTCAGTACCACATCGCGTGATAGTCACTCTGTATCTATGACTGCAGATCTCAGCAGCACACTGCATTACGGTACTGTAAAGTGTACGGGTAGGGGGTACTAGTACAGGGATGGCACTGAAACAGTGCATGCAGACGATCTGATCGGCGCAATAAAGTGCGCCTTTACCAAATGTAATTCTCCAACATAAAATGGACAATACCTTCCAATGTATTTGAGCTTCAACTAAAGTAGACTGCAAGGTAATGTCCGTGTAAGTGTCTTCAAATTTCGAAGACACATTTCACAAGCAAATCGGATTGCATGTACCACCAGTCATCACGTGGCTGGGATTTGTTGGTTGTCCTGGTCGCGCGATTTCGGGTTGGCACGGTGCCAACGGCTCCTCACTTCGCAACTCTCCTTCCATCTCCCAGTCGATCCCCATTGTTCTAACACTAGCCATGCGTTTAAGCTGCGTGCTGCTGATTGCTGTAGTCGTGCTTCTGTCAAGCTGTGACGATACCTCGGCAAATAATACTGGCCAAGCTTTGAAGACGAAGACCATGGAGTCGGGAGATGCTCTTGTCCCTGACACTACCCAGCGATTGCTACGGACACAACAGATCAGCGGTACAGATGCCGTCGCGTCTAACGATGAAGAGAGGGCCCCCTTGAGCTTGAAGAATCTGCTGAACGTGGTCAGGTTTAAAGCGGCTACGAACGATTTTGCTAGGTCGAACCTGGACAAAATGCTGTCGGATCCCATATTCAAGATGGAAATGTTTCAAAGGTGGAATGCGAAGTACAGCGCTGACAAAGTCATAAGAATACTCGATATTAGCAAGACGAAGAACATCCCCTACGGAGCAATGCTCCAAGAGTTTCTCAATACCTACGGACGTAGACCGATCAAGACCCAATAGAACGCATGACGATCACGAATTACAATAGGCTGAGTGTTTTGAAATTTTTCAGCTTGCCATTGCAAATGATTTTTGGATTTTTATCCAGAGTCCATCCTGGCCCCAATGTCCTCATATGTTACATACCCTAGAGATGCCGATCCTTCAAAATTGAAGAACGTACCAAAATGTATCTGTTACTATATACTAGTAGTAGTAACTTCAATTTTAACAGGATGGGCGGACACATTGTAGATCGAATTGTCATCAAATTTGGTACATGTATGACGTTCACTGCGGAAGAATAGGATCAGCTGGGCTCTTATCAAAGAGCGTGATAATGCTGGCTGAGCTCTAGTGACACCGCACCGCTCTAAACGAACACTATAAAAAGGCACTACAGCCTATCCTCATTGTAGTGGTACCGTCGGGAAGCCACTCTTTGCGGGAAAATCTAAGGAGCTCGAGGCCACGGAGCTCGAGGTGTGATAAAAAAATGCAGTATGACCCAATTTTCAATTTTTTCTATTTATCATAAAAGGTGGATCATTTAAATATTTCGGTATTCACCAATTTTATTAAAAATTGACATGATGTAAACTTGATTTTTGCAATTACTAATATCTCTTTTTGTAGTATTTGGGGGTTGTTTGTACAAGCAATATAATCAAATTGATCTTTATATGAAATGCTTTTTTTAGGTTTTAGTTTTATGAATATATAAACAATGAAATCTACATGTATTAGCCTTTTTACATACGTCATGGCATACATATGAGATAGTGTGTTGCTTTCTCCAAAACCACTCCAAAACTACTCCCGGAAACGAACTTCACGCGAAAGTTAGTTTTTACCTTTTTCCAATAAAAGAATTAAAACGGACGTAATGAGATAATGTACCATGGGATATTGTAATCTACGCTTAAAACCCCTACGACAGACCTTGCAACACACAAATGAGCTTCATTTCTCAAAAATGGAAATACCACAGCCCCCCCCCCCTCCCGCTCCTACCTCAAGCTTTGTCATTCCTTCCAGAAGGAGAGTACAAAGGAGAGTACGAGCCGTTCAAGGCGGCCGAAGACGCACGCATTGCATACCTGGAACCGCAACCAAGTTATCGACGCCCCCCGGGCACACACAAGAAGAATTCGAATAAGGAGATTCGCCAACGCGATTATCAATGCGACCACTACGGAAGGACCCAGAACACACGTGGGCTCTCTGAGGCTGATCGAGTTCGACCTCAGCGCTCTGTTAAAAGAAATTGGGTCCAAGATGAATATTCGACTCGAAGAAGTCGATCCTGACAATGTCGAAGGAAGATGGATTTTTGTTCATCTGGCTGGATCCGATAAACATAACCACCCACCTTCACAAGATCCAAGCATTCATCCCGGTCATCGTCGGCGTGACATATACCGTTTGATACCCTCTGACCTGGCGACTGCTGATGTCGTTGGTGCTCAAAACAGTGCTGGTGTATCTCCCCAGGTCGTTATCTCAACTATCCGTCGTGCTGGTCCTACCAGCTCTATCATTGACAAAGACATCTCCAATAGAATGGACGCAGAACGGCGGGCGGCGTTAAGAGGAGATACGCCAACGGAGTTTCTGCTCAAGCAGCTCGAGACCAACGGGTTTTTCTACAAAGTGGACGTGAACCCCGACAATTCGCGACTTAGGTCGATGTTTTGGTCACACCCGGATATCCAAGACATCTACGGCTGGAACTCCGATGTCTTGATTTTAGACTGCACGTACAAGACAAATTCGTTCGACTTGCCTTTGCTCAACATTATCTCAATGACTAACACGAATAATGTCTTGCCGATTGCGCAGTGCTGGCGTCCAGGAGAGAAAGAAGAAAATTTCGTTTGGGCCCTCAACAACTGCGCGAGATGATTTCCAAGTACGAAATTTCGCTCCCTACTGTTATCCTCAGCGATCGAGATCAATCCTGCATGAATGCATTGGATC